GTGATTACAAAACCCATCTCTGTGAATTATACAGCAAGTTAAATTGGTTTCCACCTTCTGCAAAGCCAGAATATTATCTAGCACAAATAGTATACAAATGTAGAAATAATACAAGTCCAACTTATCTGAATGATAGAGCACAGAAAGCTTTCATTGCTCACTCCATCAGTACTTGCTATTTTCTGCTAATGACACATGCTGTGGTCTGAAACCAAACCCTAACAAGAGTGAATGGTCTCACTTTTTATTTTTTCATATTTTTATTTTTACTAAGCTTCAATTTATTAGAACATCCTGCACTGCTAAAAACTTTCCAAATCTGAAAAACACTTTTTTGAGCAACCTTTTTACACAGAATCACAGAATGGCCCAGTTTGGAAGGGGGCTTAGAGCTCATCCCATCTCACCCCAGCCATGGCAGGGCCAGCTCCCAGTGTCCCAGGTGCTCCCAATGTCCAAGCTGGCCTTGGGCACTGCCAGGGATCCAGGGGCAGCCCCAGCTGCTCTGGGCACCCTGTGCCAGGGCCTGCCCACCCTGCCAGGGAACAATTCCTGCCCAAGATCCCATCCAGCCCTGCCCTCTGCCACTGGCAGCCATTCCCTGCCTCCTGGCCCTGCAGTTCTGATGAACTTTTGATGAACTTTTCACTTCTCTTGATCAGAATCACTTGTGAATGTCTGCCGCTAATGAACTTTTTTTTTCTATTATTTATACTTTTCTATTAATTTAAAAGCACCATCATTAGCTTCAGATTTTTCAGCATAATTTAGAAACTGGAACAGTCCTTTTGTATGAGAAACTCAGACTGTTCAGTCTTCCCTGGAGGAGGAAGGAACCTCACTCCCCTGGGTGAGCTGCATTTTCTACTCCCTGAACACTGACCAGCTGAAAAAGAGCTACATGGTCTTAATGAACTTCCTAACATTATAGTCCCAGCATTCCTGCTTGGAATAGATGATGTGGTGAAGAGAGGAGCAGGCAGAGGAGGACAAACAGCCCAACAGCTCCATCAGACTGAAATTATATCCCAAGAAAATCAGATACAGGAAAAGGATACCTGCCAAAAATTCTCCCAGCTGGACAGACCTTGGAGAAGCTTTCTAAACCCACTCATCCAGTTCTAGAATTCCATGGCCATGCAGGCTGTTAAAAAATGTTGCCACACACATTTGTAGGGAGATGCAACTGCATGAATGTAGTAGAGCTGATTTATTTTTCTCTTTCTATTAAAATCAGCAGCTCCATCTCTCGCAGAGCTGTACAAATAGAGTTATTCCAAGCAGACTATTTTGCAGACATCCTGTCTGTTCTCCAGACTGAGAATTGTCACTGCTGCACTGCCACAGAGCTGATGGGATTTGGAGTTGCCATAGTGTTAAATGTTTTTCCTGTGATCAGCAACTGCTGATTTTAAATGAAAGTCTTGAGCCATTTTCTCTCCTCTGTACTTCACAGTCATTTCAAAGTCATCACAGACAAAAAGGTGTAATGATACCGGGTAAAAAATGTATTTAAATGAGCTTGTCATGATCTGATTTCAAGGTCAGAGCACACAAACAGCCTCTGCTTTCAGCTGCTGGAAAGGACAGGGCACCTTGAGGACCTCCAGCCATCCCAGTTATATTTAATAAACATGTGCACACATTCCCTTCACAGCACTTTCATATTGAAATGCCTTTTGTGTCCTTACAATGTGCACAGAATTCCAGCTCTCATGGGTGGGATGATTTACCTCAGTGCTTGTGACAAACGATGTGGGGCACAGCCAGGTGAAGGCAGGCCAGGATCAATGGGACTCTAAGGGACTCGGCACTTGCAAAAGATTTTTGAGTATTTACTTCTCAAATGTATCAGTATTAATAAATCTAATTTAATGCATTTTCCTTGTCACTTGCAATGAGTCAATTGCTAATTAAATGTTGTTGAAAAAGACTGCACTTTTATATGCTTAAAAAGAGTGTCACTAATATGGCTAAATCTAGATGTGAAATGTAGAACAGGATGATCTAAACCCCCTAAATACTGCTGTTATCCAAAATCATTCTATGCTGAGTTAATTGTCAGAAAAAGGAGAAGTACTGGAAAAATTGAATGATTGACATTTAACCCTCTAACTCGTATTGGTATAAATTTTATATTCAAATTACATGGAATTAGTTTGCAGAATTAATCATTTCCCTTCGGTGGGGAGACAATGACACAAGAAACAACGCGTCTCTATTGACAGGTCAGAAATTCATGAATTCTTTCTCTCCCCTTTGCATTGTAGCTATTCCTGTTTAAAATCTGTAGAAATGCCCAATTTAGAGCTCTGCCCAGCTGTAGTGACTCCCATGTCTTTTTGACTGACAATGATGAGATTTCTGTCATGCTTTGCCTCTCCTACAGGGCCAGTGATGGGATTTTTTTCCTGGAAATCTTATTACTGAATGCACTGTCGTGGTCTCAGATGGAACTTTCAATCAGAAAGGCAATCAGAAGGGTTTCCATTTGTGAGTTTTCCTACAAAAGAGCTTTGCTAAACCCTCCAGTGTAGCCTCTAACTTGCAGAGTGCCTTGCCCTGGAGGCTGATGTGGCCCCAGACAATGATCCACGTTCACAGCACCTTCCCTGGCTCCCAGGACTGGGATGTGCACCAGAAACTGGCTCAGTTCCCAATCCCTTTCCTGGTGTTGGATCTGCCATGGCAGCTCAGAACACCCTGGCACCCAGTGCAAGTGCTGAGCAAGAGTGTGCTTGATTTTTCTTGTAGTTATTTACAGAAATTATTTGATTTCACTGAAATCTCCAGGATGGCATCTTTCCTACCCTTAGAGGACTTTACTGTTTAGTTCAGTGTTTTGCCAAAAGTTTTAGATTCAGTTATTCAAAATAATTTTTGTTTTAATGCAGTGTAACTTAAATGTGTTTGGAACTTCACGAATTTCAATAAAATCTTCATAATATATATCGAAGTGGCATTAATGTATTAGTTGCCCACAGACTACAGTCATTAAACCAAGTCGTGCTGCAGCTAAAGCAAAGTCAATGTTAACATCTGAAATACAGGCAAAACTGGGGGTGATGTGTTAAGAATTCTTTGTTTGCAGAACAAGTGTTATTGAGGAGCTTCAAGTCAGTGGGTTGTTTTAACCAGCAATGCTTAAACAAAAATCATGTGAGGCTGTTTTTCAGCATGGTGTAGTGAATCAGACACTCATAACTCCTGTGCTCCCATCACTTCAAAATTCTGCAATCACTGATAAACATTGTTTCAAATATTCTCTTTTTTTTCCTCTTTTTTTTTTTATTATCTTGTCTGTATTCAACTGATAAATAAATGATTTTGAAGAAATTACATCCCTCAAAAAACTATGAAGTTATTCTGGAAGAATAATTTCTGCAGTGCTCAGGTAAACCTGAAAGAAAAGCAATAACAAGAAAAATATTTATAAAAATATATTTCACAAAGTAGGAAACAATACAGGAGTTTCTCTGAATACAATACATGGAGTAAATAAACAAACGATAATATAGCTCCAAAACAAAGTAGAAAATTAAAATGATTTGCATGTAATACGTAGTTTTCTTATACAATTGCTACTTCTAAATGGCAAGTTTGCATTACAAATTGAGTATGCTTGCAGCTTCTAGTGTTCTTTCTCTGTGTGCAAGAGCCCTGGTGCATCACTATGAATATTATAGAAAAAAATGCTAATAACAGAAGCAGTAAAATTATGTACACACTGGTTCCTGCTCTAATACAGTGGAGAACTATAAGCATGGGTTTTTTTTACTGTACTGTGTTATGTGTGGATTTCTAAAAGTCTATAGTTTAAATATTCACATGAACCAGTTTACTTCCAGCTGTTTGTGCTTGTATTAAAAACACCAGGTACTAGATTTATGAAGAAGATATAAAACTGTCAAAAGTTTTCTCTGGCTAGGTTTAATGTCTGCCAGCATTCTCTTAAAATTCAGCTACTGCAAATGGACAGGGAACTAACTGCTTTAACCTGCAATAATTTGTCATTTTTTTCTTTTCAAAATGTACATGTATGAAACATTCATTATATAGAGAGAAAAAAATCTAACTGATATAATTTAGTTTTCTTCATAATCTTACTCTATAGATTATCAGTCTTAATAAATAAAAGCAGTAATGGACATCAATAAAATATTTATTTCAAAGATTAAACAAATAAATTCGATCTTTAGCAATAAAATCAGCAATTCTTTCATTTATGTAAGTCCATCCCATTTCACAGTTTTTTCTTTCAGAAGACGAAGCACAGGGTTGATCCTTCTTCTAGAAAAAGATCCTTTTGTGAGGCAAGGTTTTGCAGCCCTGCCTCTGAATCTCTACACATTAGTAGTATTTATTACCCATCACTGGAATGGATTAAGAACATGTGAATATTTTAAGGCTTGACACAATATTTAAAGATGATATTCAGTCTGTGGTTACGTGGCCAACAATTACTGTATGTACAATGGATGGTCACTGCACAGTAGGAGCCAGTAGGAATTGGCAATGCCATTTCTGCTCAGCATTGCTAAGAAGACCAAGATATTGCTTTGAACATTTCTGTGGCGGGATCTTTGTTGGCAATGCAGAAACAAACCTTTAGTTTTACACATACTGGGCAGGAGCTACTGTTCAACAGCAAATCCCTGCAAGTCTGTTTCCTAAGAGAGCACCAATTTCTTTTTTTGTTCTTTTCAATTCACTGAAGATAATCAAAGATCCAAATCTCCATCTTCAGAGTGGTCAAGTGAATATCAAATATCCAAAGACTTCTAGACACTCCACATACTTTACTTCACACTCCACAAGACTTAACCTCCTAACATATACTTTTTTTTTTTGGTTCAACATTACAATGTAGTTGATTTTATAGATGACTGGCGCTAAACTTGCCTCTAAAACAAAAAGCCACATTAGTTTTAACTAACAGCAGTGGCCCTAGAATATTACATGATCATTAAGTCAACAGGGAAAAAGTTTGTAATCCACTGTCAAGTTTCTTTGTCACTTTCTCCGACTGAGTAAAGTTCTCCGAGTCTTTTAAAGCGAGGACCCCATTCACTGAGGTAGTCAAAATTCTGGTCTGAGTCTGATGTGGAGGACTCCAAGGAACTAAGGGAACCAGCCGCTGACCCCTTTCCCTCATAGCCATAAATCTGAATAGAGTCATATGGCGGAGCTGTGGGATCATTATCAGCTTCGTGAAGCCTTACATTAATAAATTCATCAACATCAACACCATTAGGAACAGGTGCAAGACCCTGCCTGGGCATAAACTGAAGATCGGGCTTAATATCCTTGCGAGGCAAAAATCCATTAATTCCATCCGGATTTTGCAAAGTTGCAATGTCAAACGCTTCTGTATCTTCCTCTCCACCTCCTTCGTCGTCATAGCGGATGATATTTTCCCTCACATCTTCATCGTCTTTGATGATTAGAGGCTCATTCTTGTGTCTTCTCAGTGTCACAAACAGCACCACAATGACTGCAAAGAGAGCACCACAAGCTGATTAGGCACAACACTTCCAATCCAAACACCACAGGGTGAGTGCAGCTGGGGGAGGTGAGAGGCTGCTTTTGGTGGAATTGGGAGTAGTGAGGGTGAAAAGCTGAAAGACCTACGACTTCAACCCCTTTCACATGAAGGAAATTTGATCAGAAGCTCTGATTAGTCATATAATCTTTGATTATCAGCTTTTATTTACATCTGAAGCTCAATTTTATAGAAGCAATAAGATTTCTCATACTTCTAATTCTGAGCCTCAACTTTTCCCTTCGGAAGTGAAGTTGGGCTATCATTACTCACATAGTGCATAATGATCTACATTAGGGATGGTGTTTTCAAAAATAAAAGAGTGCTTTTCTGAAAACATAGCCCTCAGGGGAGAATGGAATCAGTGTTTTCTCTACCTGTTGCAAGACCCCTATTATGTAACTAAAAAGAGAGTGAGAAAATAAGTGAGAAAGAAAGAGCTTAGCTCAATTTCAGAATTGTGGACAGATGCATAAAAAACTCTAAATGGGTTCTGCAGCTTAATGCTGAAGCCTCAGTTACTGATGTAAATCTCAGTCACAAAGTGAAGCTGCAAAGTGCAGAAATTGGAATCTCCTTTCACTGTTCTCTCCCTCACTTGCTTGATGTTGTATACAAACATTGCATGTTTTATTAAAACATACCGTAGTGCTTACCTTGTAAACCTTTACTGTCTTTTGTGCCATTACAATCCAGAATAAACTCGTAATAGAAATACACAAATACAAATATATATCACGGAAAGAGATAAAGCTGGAAGAAAGCATCCAAAGGAGGGAGCTGGGGCTGGGGAAGGGCCTGCAGGGGCCACCTGAGGAGCAGCTGAGGGCACTGGGCTGGTCCAGCTGCAGCAGAGGAGCTGAGGGCAGAGATCCCCAGGGCTGCAGGGGCAGCTCCCACCTCTGCTCTGGGCCAGGGACAGCACCCAGGGAGAGGCTGGAGCTGGGCCAGGGCAGGCTCAGGCTGGAGATCAGGAAAGGTTCTGCTTCCCCCAGAGGTGCTGGCACTGCCCAGGCTCCCCAGGGATGGGCAGGAGGCTGCCAGAGCTCCAGGAGCCTTTGGGCAGCGCTCCAGGGATGCCCAGGGGGATTGCTGGGGGGTCTGCAGGGACAGGGGCTGCATCCATGATCCCTGTGGGTCCCTTCCCACTCAGGACATTCTATGATCCCATGATTCATGCAAGTCTTAGAACATACAACAGACCCATTTTCATGGGGTAGTCCACTATTCACCTTGCTGCTCAGCACCCTGATCTGAATTTTCCCATGCCACACCTGTTTCTCCTGTAACTCGTGTGTGTGACTGCTTCAGAACTGGACTTTGCTCTCTCTGCTTGTGTCCAGCTCTCAGCAGCTGAGGGATTCAGCGCTGCGGCAGGTGGCGTGGGAGCGGAGTGTCCCTCCTCCCGTGGGAAGCCCACCCCTCGCAGGCGGTGGGAAGGGGGTCTCTGAGCACCCACCGAGCAGCAGGATGATGCAGGCCAGGATGGCGATGAGGGCGCCCATGCTGAGCCCGATGGGCAGCACGTAGGCCTCCACGTTGCAGGACTGGACGATGCCGTCGCTGCTGCAGCCGCAGACGCGGATGGTCAGCGTGCCCGTGCTGCTCATGGGTGGCGAGCCGCTGTCGCTGATGACGATGGGCAGCAGGTACACCTCCTGCTTCTGCCGGCTGAAGCCGCTGTGCTTGGCCAGGATGCTCAGGGTGTTATCTGCAAAGGCAAAATCGGCAGCGGCTCAGCGCACAGCCCTTCCCTGTGCAGGAAACCTCGAGGGATCACCCTGAAACTAGAGCCTTCTGATTGTTTGCAATATTTTCTTTTTTCTTTTTTCTTTTTATAGGAGAAAGGGTGAGAATGTCCCCCTAGAAATCGAAGCCTTCTGATAATGTTTTCATAGTTCTAGTTACTTTCCCATGAAAGTTCTATAAACATAAGTTGTTTATCACATTCCTTCTAAGAAATGTCTTTTGATGGATGTTTCTCATGACCAGTGTGTTTGGGAAGGGGGTAACTTAATTATCCAATCCCTGCTCATTGTTGAGAATCTATAAATACTGGAGTCAGAGAATAAAGGCACTGTTTTTCTGTCCTGACACTGAGAGGTGTTTGTGTGAATCATTTTGTGTTCTCCAGTGACAGCGAGGTTCCACGAGCTCCTTGTGCCAGCTCGTGGCACAGAAATGCCTCCCCTTTCTCCCCTTTCTCCCAGCTGGACTTTCTGTCCAGCTGCATGAAGAAGTGCAATATACCCATTTTCTTGTGCCACATGGTCAGAATTGATGATGGCATTCCCTTATTTCTCCTCTGCGTTCAGCACTACAGATATCCTCCCATCATGATTCACCACATTTTTTTCCAGTCACACAGTCATAAAAATCCAGCCAGTAAAGCAAGAGGGAAATGAGATATTAAAGTAACCCAAACTTAAAGCATATTCACCAATTAACACAAATCTTCCTTTCCTTACAACCACGAACTGCACATTTTCCACTGCTATAAACAATTCTTCTTTTTTATACAAAGACAAAAGAAAAGCTAAATGCATTACAAGTTGTGTGCCTAATTTTGAGTGATCTAAACATTTATTTGGCCTCAATGAAGAAAAGAGATCAAACCAGGCTGTATCTCCCATGGAGGCAGACAGGAAATGAGTCTAAAACATTCTTACCTCTGCACACATATGAAGAAAGTTAATTTTAGAAATATAAAGAGGCATCTGACTGCATGGCATCCTACACAGCCATAGAGTTACACAGTGAAATCTCTCAGAGTCACTCAGTTCTCAGTTCACCATCAAATGAATACAGGTTGATTTTTCTTAGGGTAAGCATACAGATTTTAATTTGTATAGTTATACAAATTACAGGTTCTAGACAATTACAAACACACACAGATATCAATAATCTTGTATGTGTCATAGTGCTCAGGTATAAACCATGATTAGTGGCATGTCAAATATGCAGAAAATTCTGATTTCTTTATATACTTAAATATTCTCTGACTTTGGACTGCTTTATTCTGTGGAATAAAATAATAATTCAATAGTAGGAATTATATTAACAGACTGAATGTTGACTTGCATTAGTTTGCTGTTTGTGTTTTGTTTCATAAAAAGATTCAGAGGCACACAGAAGAGGAATGTGTGAGTGTGTGTGAGTGTTGCTGTGGGATCCATGACAATTTAAAAATAAAGCTGCACATCTTGTTTGGAAGAAGGAGTTGAGGTTCATTTTCCTGATGCATCATGAACAAGAGGAAGCCTCCTGATATTTTATGTTCTAAAATGGACACGTGCAATGCTAAATGTCATTCCATGGAAAGAAAGAAAACAACAGGGAGTGCTCATATGACAATAGGCTTCTTCTGAAGATCAGGTCCCTTCCCACCCATTCTGTAATTCTATAATTTTCTATCCCTTCCACAGCAGAATCACTTACCAATCACATTTACTTGGCCTAGAGAGGTTCTTGTTATAATTTATATTGCAGATGATGTAACCATTTCAGCATTTTTCATACATTTAGATTACGCAACACGTGAAGGTCAATCTAAAAATTAACTCCTTCATAAAGCAGAATAAATATGGTCACTTTGCAGAACAAAAAGTAATCCTAATGATTTTTTTTTTTACCCACAGGAATCCTGAGGTTTTATCTATTCCAGTTGGAAACAGTCACATCAAAACTGATGGCACCCTGGAGCTAAATAAATAGTCTAGCTCTTCCTTGTGCCCTTTTTAAAATGAAAGGAAGCATATGTGTTTACTGAAGACAAATTTCAGGTATAAGCTCTTAAGAATTCTGACAACTCAAATAGGACCAAAGTCCCTGATGACACCCAGTGTCACATGTGCCAGTGTGCTGCAGAGGAAAAGTCAGGGGTGTCTGAAGTCAATAATTAACACACATTTGGAAGTGAACAAACCCTGCACTCCTCCTTGGTTGGGTGTGCCAGAGGTGTTAACACGTGTGCAGGTTAAACCACTTCCAGTGCCATCCTTGTTCTCTGCAGGGAAAAAAGGGAAAAGTTACGTTGGAAAAATAATCCTTCATCTCAGTTTCCCTGAATATGGGTGTGTAGAGCTTTACCAAAGTAAGAGTGACTACATGATGTGTTAAAGTTCCTTTTTTGATCTGATAGCCTTCTTTTCCCCTTTGCCACCTCTCCCTATTTTCAAATACTGGAAAATAAATTCATCTGTCCATTGTCATTCTCCTGCAAAATTAAAAATATCCCAGCATAAGCTGCATCCTTAATCCTTTTGCTTTAACCTTTCAAAAGAGAAAAGAACTAAGTGGTGCTCAATTTCCAGCTCTTTCTTTGAGACAAATCCCACTCAGAGGTGTCACATCTGTAGTCATTTATTCCGAACTCCAGAGACTTTTACAGTTCTATTACACAGAGCTCTAAATCCGTACTGCTACAGCCTGTTCCTCCCTGTGAACCTGCTGCAGTCCTTCTCTGCCCAAGCTGGAGCACAGGATTGATGTGCTGAGCCCAACAGCCCTGCACTTTACAGATATGCAAAACAGCAAAGGCACCTGCTTTAGGAAGGAACAAAAAAAGAGAAGCTGCACTTGCTAGAAACAGCTTCAGATCCTTTCCATCCTCCTGAGACACTCCCTGCCATCCTGTCTGCTGCAGAAAATTCTAATAAGCCAAAACCAGAGTGTAACTGAGGGAAAAAAGGAAGGATGTACTCTACAGAGACAAACAGAAAGGGGCAGAAAAAGTGAGAGGGAGGAGAGATGGAGAAAATAAAGTGTCCAGCAGTGAAGCTTTGCTGAGTGTAAGAAACCGCCTGGTACCAGTACTGGTTATCAATTCAAGTTCAGAAGAAATGAGAGAAAGCAAAAGAGGTGCAAGATATTTGGAATGATAACTATTAGTTAAGTGCAAATTAAAATGCAATGGCTGGACAGTCAGAACCATTCAGAAGAGAATAACTTTCTTTTCTTACAGATTACTTGTTTGGTTGGATTTTTTGATGTTAGTTGTGGTTTTGTTTGTTTGTTTGTTTGCTTGTTTTTTTGTTAGAAACCATATTTGACTAAAAGCGAACATGTTATGCCTGGAAAGAAAAGAAATCGACAAGCAGATAATACAAAAAGCAAAATGAAATGACCAAATTGTTTTGCCAATGAGTAGCAAGTCCTCCATTTGACTTAGGAATTTTTTTTTGCAATAAATTCTTTCCCCTTCATTGCTATGTCTTAAAATAAATATACCTTGGTGTTGCTGAAGATGTGGCTTTTGAGTGAAGAACAATGACTCCCTAGCTGATATTTCAGTTGGTTCCTAGAACTTGAAGATGAATCCTAGCAGCTGATCAGCAATAAACTCAATTTATCTGATTTGCTTTCTCCTTTCTGTGGACATTCCCCTCTCCTGGAGCTGACAAAACAACAGGAATCTCCTCCAGGAACAGTCTCCAGCACTGCTGCATGAATTAACTTGGCAGCAGATGCTCAGCAGGAGAGGGGACAATCTCCTTCCCCTCATCTTCCCAATTAACCCACTGATCCTTCATTATAGCACTGCTCAGGTTGTTTATTTATTCATGGTACTTTTAGCAAAACAGGGCAAAGCACGTGCAGAAAGCACCCAAAGCTCTCTGTTCACAGAGCTCTGAGCTGTCTGCCACAGGCAAAGAGACACTGAGTGTGCTCCTCCAGCCAGTGAGGTACATCCAGAGGGGTTGGACATTCTCTGTCACAAGGAATCTCCTGGAATTCTGTGCCCTTCTCTGTGGGTAAGGGGCTGGAGAAGGTCATCAGCCTATGAATGCCCTCTCCCTGGTGATGTATGAGCCACCCAGGAAGGAGCAGGAGCTGCAGCCTGTCCTGCAGGCTTCAGGAATGGTGTAAGATCTGAATAATCATCATAGCATCGGTGTCAGGTCAGAGGGACACGGCTCTGGGCATGCACAACCACAGCTCCGAGCTGGAGCTCACTTCTGCCCATTCTACACATTAAAAAACCTGGTGGCTCAGCTCCCTGGCTGACTCTCAGTCTCTAAAATTTACAAGCAGCCTCTTGAAATAACCATGACTGTTTGGGGAATATCTCCCTCACAGCTGGAACAAAGAATGACAATGCAGAAGGTCTTTGAAAGATGTGCAGTGTGGTTTCTAGACAAAGGTAGTTTGCATAACCACAACAATTACCACAGGGCCAAGCGCTTTCTGCAGATTCCACAACTGTTCTCAAATCTCTCAGATCTCTTTTGAGGTTCTTGGATGAAAGATTCTGAGAAAATGTAAACGCAATAATTTTAATACAGAGCTACTTTTGGGTTTTCTGGACACGAGTGACTTTAATGGCATTGACAGCAATCAGGATGTGAAATTAGCAGGAAGGAGTCAACTCCTTCACCTCCCACTTTGTGCAAGAATGAAACTTGCAATTTTAAGCCAGACAATAAAATAACAAAACAAAAGCAACAATCAGAAGCAGTGAGTTTGCATCATTTTCTCTGCACACATTATTGCAATTCTTTAATTCCCTTGCAGTCTCCCATATGTTGAGATCAGTGGATTTCCCTGCTGTGCCACCTTACACCTACAGAACTCTGCCTTTCTTTTTTTATCCCCTTTTTAATGTCCTCAGAAATATCAAATAATTAATGGTATTAAGGACTTTGTGGTAGAAGTTGTTATCTATGCTGGATATATTACTTATGTGAAGAATGAATTTTAATGGGAAGCTCT